ACTCTGTAAACCCGTTCCATCTCTATATCTTGATGAATTTTCAGTTTGTGCTTTAAAATCTCCTTCACCTTACACTCCGCTTCCGTCCAGCTTTCTCCAGCTGACTCCTTGATTCCCTCGAAGATCAGGTTTTTTTGCTTGGACTGTGCTTCCAATTGCTCCATTTTACACGCAATAGTTATTAGACTCTCTCGGGTTTTGTCGATGTCCCGACAAGTGTCTTTGGCAATTTTTTCCTGCACCCCCACGGCCACTTTAATCGCGTCAAGAGAAGAGAAGCAGTAAAGATGTCTGCTCTCGCTTGCAACCCGGAAACAAAGTCACCAATGATCTTCTCCCAGCCTCAGATAAAGGACTTGTCTCCATACCTGTCCTCTTAGACCTCAGTGCTGCTTTTCACACCATCTTACTGCAGAGACTTGAACATGTTATTGGGCAATCACAAATGATCCACTAGAATCACATCTGTGAGGAGACAGACGAATCAGCTGACAGGTGCTACTATTTTTCTGTGCATTTAAGTTTCCTTTTTAAAAATGATTGTACTGCATTTTGTAAATAAGCATCTAGCGACTGCTGAAACTTTGTATAGCCCAGGAGCGGACATACTGTACAACTCAACAAAGACAAAGTCAGAACAAGTCTGGTGTTGTTTGTGTGTGTTCCTCTACCTGCAAATGGATAAAGTCATAGCATGATCCTTCTTCCCTCTAAACAGCTTCTTCTCAACCAGGGCATCCACAATGCGCTGTCTGGCATCAAAACGCTTCACTCCCTTTAAAGTGACACATAACAATGTCAGCTTTGATAAAGACATAGATGCAAGAAAAAGAACCCTATTTCTGGCTTTTTCTGATTTTCTGCATTTAAGAGGTCATGAAATGTGATCTGTTCATACAGGAAAAAAAAAACAAATAACACACAAACACAAGCATGCACGCATGATAGCTCAGTGGGTAACGCCACTGACTTTGGTACAGAAAGTCGGGGGTTCGAACCCCAGTCAGTCAGGGCATGGTCAATATCCCGCCTGGGTCCTTAGGCAAGGCCCTTAATGCTATCTGCCTACCTCATCCATAATGAGAGTTGGAAAAATAAGAGTCACACCAGCTCGGACGTCGTCCGGGTCAACAAGGTTCGCGTCAGGTGTTGAGGAACCAGGGCAACCTGATGAGAAGTGGGCTACTGGAACAAAACATTCATGGAAAAGAGAGGAGAACAGGGAACTTTTGGAATGCTACTATACAAGCAACCCCAGCAAGAGGGGTTACATGCGGAGGATGTGGGGCCTATGGATACTTCGAAACCCAACATCTACACTAACATCGAAGCAACTAGTAGCTCAGTGCTATAACATCCGCAAGAAGCACCTGCTATCACAAGTGGAGATTGATGAGGTACAACACAAATGCTCCACAATTGGAGATTGGGTACCAAGCCCCAATAACAGGCCTGAATGAGCTTGATTCAAGGGTTGCTGACCTGAGACTGAAGATCATGAGCAAGATGGACACCTGTAACTCCCGTGGGTAGTTACCAAGACCAAGTGAGTCTCTGAAAGTCTACTAGATGATGTGAATGCAACACTAAGAGCAATCCCTACTATGACCATCACTGAGACCAACAAGCTCATATACACCACAGCAACCGGGATCCTTGAGATGCCTGGCTATAAGTTCAACAACGGCCATAAGGAGCAGTATCCTCCATGGAGAAGGAGGTTGGAGACCAAGATCAAACTACCGCCCAATAAATTGCCTCTGCACAACATGGAAGCTCCTGTCAGGCATAGCAGCCAAGATGAGCAGGCACATGGCTCAATACATGAGCAGCGCCCAGAAAGGAATTGGTAGTAACACCAGAGGAGCAAAGCACCAGCTACTGGTTGATAAAGTAGTCACTCAAGACTGCAAGACCTGGCATACCAACCTGTGCACTGCCTGGATTGACTACAAGAAAGCCTATGACTCAATGCCTCACACATGGATCCTGGAATGCTTGGAGCTGTACAAAATCGACAAGACTCTAAGACCCTTCATCAAGAACTCAATGGGAATGTGGAAAACAACCCTAGAGGCCAACTTCAAGCCGATTGCACAAGTCAACATCAAGTGCAGTATCTACCAAGGAGATGCTCTGTCCCCGCTGCTGTTCTGCATAGGCCTGAACCCCCTCAGCCAGATCAAAACCAAGAGTGGTTACGGATACTGACTACAGAATGGAGCAACCATCAGCCACCTCCTCTACATGAATGACATCAAGCTGTATGCCAGGAGTGAACGAGATATCGACTCACTGATCCACACCACTAGGATCTAGAGCCAGGACATCGGAATGTCATTTGGACTGGATAAGTGTGGCCGAATGGTAATGAAGAGAGGGAAGGTAGTCAGAACTGAGGGGACTGTACTACCAGAAGGCAACATAACAGATGTTGAGGACAGCTACAAGTACCTTGGGATCCCGCAGGCAAATGGGAACCATGAAGAGGCCGCAAGGAAAGCAGCAACTGCCAAGTACCTGGAGAGAGTAAGGCAAGTCCTGAGAAGTCAGCTGAATGGAAAGAACAAAGTCTGGGCAATTAACACCAACGTCCTGCCGGTCATCAGGTACCCCGCTGGCATAATAAGCTGGCCAAAGGAGGAGATAGAAGCCACTGACATCTATCACAAGACAAGGAAGCTCCTTGCACGGCAGGTTTCACCCCAAGTCCAGCATCCTGAGACTGTACACTAAGCGGAAGGAAGGAGGCTGAGGATTAGTGAGCGTCTGAGCCACTATGAGCCAGGATGAAACAACAAAGATCCATGAATATATCAGGAAGATGGCCCCGGGTGATGACATGCTTAGTGAATACCTCAGGCAGCAGAAACCAGAGGAACAAGGGAAGGAAGAGCAGGAACCCTCATGGAAGGACAAACCTCTGCACGGTATGTACCACCGTCAAACAGAAGAAGTGGCTGATATCGAAAAATCCTACCAGTGGCTGGACAAAGCTGGACTGAAAGACAGCACATAGGCACTAATCCTGGCAGCACAGGAACAGGCTCTAAGTACAAGATCAATACCATACCAGACAGGACCCCAGGTGCAGGCTGTAAAGATGCCCCTGAGACAATCCAGCACATAACAGCAGGGTGCAAGATGCTAGCAGGCAGGGCATACATGAAACGCCATAACCAAGTGGCTGGCATTGTGTACAGAATCATCTGTGCTGAGTACAGGCTGGAGGTCCCAAAGTCAAAATGGGATACACCCCCAAAGGTGGTTGAGAATGACCGAGCTAAGATCCTGTGGGACTTCCAGATACAAACTGACTGGTAATGGCCAACCAACCGGACATAGTAGTGGTGGACAAACAGAAGAAGAAGGCTGTAGTGATAGATGTAGCAATCCCAGGCGATAGCAACATCAGGAAGAAGGAACACGAGAAGCTCGAGAAATACCAAGGGCTGAAAGAAGAGCTAGAGAAGATGTGGAAGGTGAAGGCATAAGTGGTCCCTGTGGTAATAGGAATATTGGGGGCTGTGACCCCCAAACTGGGAGAGTGGCTCCAACA